TGCCTTGATTCAATGTGAAAGGTGATTCTCAGCTACTTCCACACCAAACTTCAGGACAATATCAGTAAATTTGGGAGCTTTTTTGGAGCTATTTTTGTGTTTGCTAAGGTCAAACAGCTGCAGAGGGCATCCTCCTGTGTTGGACTCGATCAACACAAAAATGTAGCATTCTGAAGATCATTACGTGCTCATGGCGTGTGTCGTTTTTTAGATGCAGAAGTATCCATTGTGAATTGTATTCTAGTTATAAAAGAAAATTGTTTTCACAGTTTCAACATCTAAACCCGTTGTAGACAACTACTGCCTTCTAACAGACAAGCCGCCACCCCATTTAATCAAATCTACACCCACTTGGGGCATTGCGGTCAACTCGTTCATGTGAAAAACCTCCACGTTTAATTAGCTGTGATGAACTGTGGTATTAAGTCTAATTTCTGTCCCTCACTTTTTTCTTCCATACACATAGACTGCCTGTAGCTTTTATTTCCCCACTTTCGTTTTGCTTAATGACAAACCTCTGTGACATTGTGGCTCAAATAAAACCAGCGAGGAACAAAAACATGAGTCATTCGACCCGACACCGAGTGTGGAATGTGGGGGTTCTCATTATAACGGAGTTATCTGCAGCTCCCGATTGGAGTGAAAGGGCTTGATTGGAGAGAGTGGGATGCTAATGCTAATAACACAGTGAGGGCGGAATGTCACTCGGCGCACATTAAACATTTAGACATCTGTTGTGAGAAAGTGCAACTGCAACGTGCACGCTCTGCTTTTAGCCACCAGCAACCACTGCGCACACAGAGGCGGAGAGTGACACGCTGACTAATTTGGCAGACAATTAGAGACTGCCAATAAAAGCTACTTGTCTTCACCTCCACATTGATCTGTTTGTGTGCAAATTCACAATTTCTCTCCATCTACAATCGAGGATTTCTGACGGCAAGGCCAAAAACAAGTACTTTTTCTTGCCTTAACGACTTTCTTACTGGTTCCATTTCAATCTCAACTGGTAAAAGTCTAACTTGAGCTTCGATCGTGTCTCAATTCCCAGTTTAAAAGAGATTTTAAATGTGCTCCATGCTACCAAATCAGTTTTACAAACAAAATCTTAATTTTTGCATTCGCAAAACTGTCTCGAAATGTTTGTTGTGGTTCTCGGTTTCTTCAAGTGAGTTTGCAGCCGTGTCGCTTAAATTTTGAAAATGATTTAAAAAAAATCTTGCAAGAACTTTTCTCTCAAAATAGTAAGAGTTGCCGGTGGCATCTCAAACTCTACTCAAACTTGTAAAATGTATATTTTTGTCATTCAAGAGCTGTATTTTGACGCCTGCATGACAGACTGTATCTGAGGCTACAACAAAAAATGACCAGATCTCTAAACCACGGTGGCCCTGAAGTTTAAACCACAACTACAAATTAAAAAACACAACAACATTTGGAAAATACACAAATACATTAAGCAAAACTGGAAGAGGTGGGAATGGTGGGAGGTGGGACCTGTGGGAAAAATGAGACATCACTGATTGGACGACGGGGCGTTTGAACCTCCCACCTTTCCCACCTCTTCTGGTTTTGCTTAATGTAATTGTGCTTTTTCAAATGTTGTCATACTATTTAAATTGTAGTTGTGTTTTTTGATTTGTAGTTGTGGTTTAAACTTCAGGGACACGGTACACAACCACAGCGATAATAGTTAATGATAAAATGGTCCAAATCGGCCCTTCTTTATTTGAAACGTGAATTCCAGTAGATTAAACTATGGGAGCAGCTGCTGAGGTGGGTAAGATGTAGGTGGAGATGTATGGAGATAGTCTCAAAAGTATTCACACAAGCATACAAACAGATTTGTATACGTACAATAAGATCCACAAGCATACCACAAGTTTTACAAATGTGTACTACAAGGTTCACAAGAGAGCAAACAGTTTCACAAATTTAAATTCAAACTGAAAACGTAGGAATAGCCAGTGCATACGATTTGTCAAATACATGTGCTCAAGTCACCTGCAGTGGATGGATCAGTCAACACGAGCACACGGATCAATTGCCTGTGAATGTGACTTTTGAAACTTTCTTACCGCTCCAGATTGACAAAGGTAACGCTGCGTTCAAGGCTGGTGAAAAGCTGGGAAATCCGAGCCTTAGCAAATTTACTGAGTCATTGGAAAAAAAAAATCACATTTCTAACTTAGTATATTAGCACATAGTCCCTAAATAATAACACAAATGCTTTTATTGACAATACAGTAGTCCCTCGCTACTTCACGGTTCGTTTATCGCGGACTCGCTCTATCGCGGTTTTTCAAAATTAGATTGGACATGACACACAATTGGTTGATTGATGGATGAGCCACACGATTGGCATGGAATTTTTATTTAAAATAAATTATTTTTAATTATGTAGCACCTGCTGCACCTCTGTGCAACCCAGAGCTGCAGAAAAAGCTTCCTCCTGCAGCTTTGTGCAGCCCATAATGCAGGATAAACTTCCTGCTGCAGCAGATCAGCTGTGCACCTTGCAGCACAAAGAAGTGGGCGTGGCCAAGAGCGCTTGCAAGTGGCAAAGAGCAAACGAGGCATGGAACTGAAATCATGACATTCTGTGCTCTTTTAGAGTGTTTAGAGCATGGGTGTCAAACCCACTTACAAAGGGGGGGGGGGGGGGGGGATTAAAACAATTTCCAAACTAAGGGCCGGTTTCAGAAACTACATTAACTCAAGTTACATACCAAACATCTTTCATCTTTTCTTGGTTGCAGGTTCCTCAAAGAGTTTGATTGATCTCATTTGACGTTCCTTGTTGCACTTGTGACATCATAATCAAAGATTACTGAACAAAATTAAAGTGATAAAAGTACTTTACATTTAAAATAACATCTTGGGGGCCAAATAAGATGTCAACGAGGGCCACATTTGGCCCCCGGGCCTTGAGCTTGACACATATGGTTTAGAGTTTAGAAACATCGTTTAGAATATTGCAAGAGTGGGGGAAGGGTTTAAAATGCCTTTATATATATATATATATATATATATATATATATATATATATATATATAATAAAATAAATTAATACTTACTACTTGTACTACTATTCCTACTTCACGGTTTTTCACTTATTGCGGGTCTTCAGGGTACGAATCCCCCGCGATAAACGAGGACAACTGTATGGATTCCAAAAAGTACATTTTCACAGTTCATATTGTATACAGCCAAATCTTGTCGTACGCTTGTGCGACTACTTTTCAGACTAACCTGTATAAATAAAAGTTGAATGAATTAAAATTTAAAATGGGCTTAATGAAATAGTTTGACTTTAATTCTTTGCACAGATGCACAGATTTGCACATTACATAAATCAGTTTAGTAACGTATTGTTTAATGTTAGAACATCAAGTTTAGCATTTAAACTTATTTTTAAATTGCAGATGGAGATTAGCTAGATAGCTATAATCTGGGACAGTGCATCTCTACTAAATTAGAGTTTAATGTTTTTCTGTACATGGTCCCTGACAAAAAATAAATAAATAAATAAAACACTTATGTGGGATTGATTGCAGCTCTACATTCAAACATCCTTCTATATCTATGTTCAAGAGAGAGAGAGAGACTCTGGATGAGTTAGTTTTAATTTTAGGGTTGTTTTTTAATTATTTTTTTGGAGCCTACAACAAATCACAGTAAAAGATTAACCTTTTACGCCATACTTATAACATTTGTTAACAATCTTTGCAAATATGGTTTTACCCTGACAACAATTAAAATCTATACGAAAAAAAAAGAGACAAGAGAAAACCAGCTAATACTGGCAATGTGTGATGAACATTATCTGCAGTATGAACGTGGAGTGGGTCTGTCTCCTCTCTCCTCTGACTGCAGCTGGGATCTCTGCACGAGGCTACAGTGAGTCGGACCACGTGTCAAAACTTTGAGTCGTGGTGGGGCTTAAGGCAGTGCTCGCTGCTCGCTGAGGACAGTGACTGCAGAATGATTAGTGCCTTCATGTGCAACCTCCAGAAGTCTCCAAACACACATGGGAAAGTAGCTAGTCGCTTTTTTTTAATCGCTAGGGGGGTCTGAAAACATACGAAATATAACAACAGTCACCAAGTTGGTTACATGCAGGGCTTGATTTGCAAACCAATCGATGCTGGAATGCAAATAGTGGGTGGGCTGTCAGGCGGAGGGGTGGGGGGTGGGGTTGGGGCAGGGGGTCAGAGGTTCCTTCCCCAGAAAATTTTGACTAAAATGATGCAATTTCTTGCATTTTGGTGTATTTTAATGAGTTGTTATATCCTACCCCTCCCTTACTTGATGTTCCGAGCCCGACACTGTCCCTGCTCCAAGTTGTCCGACTCCACATGTAAAACCTCCAGGCACCTCCTCCGTCTGTTCATGGGAGCTGCCTGTGGGTTCCTGCCCGCGTACAACTGCCTGGTTATCTCGGCACTCACCTCCACCACTCTTTTAGGGGCGGAGATTTTTTTAAGAGTAGACGTGGAAATGTTAATTGAAGGGGCAGCTCCTATGCTCATAAGTGGCTGTTGCATTTAAAATTTGTGTTTATGTAATTATTTTCAGTTTGCATATCCAATATAAGTTTAATTCATTCAAGGCAGTCATATTTGTTCATAACTTTATTAATAGTAAGATTGAGTTACCAGAGCCAAAAAAACAGTTACCGGAATGCACCCTGTCCAAAAAAAAAGAGTTTTCCCAGGATCCAGCTCAAATTAAGCCCTGGCTATGCTGCTGGAACTGTACTACACTTAATGCATTACTCCTCTTCAACAGTAGGTGTCCCCACTGAGCAAATAATGTCTTACACAGAAGGAATGTCACCAGAAGAATAGCTGTACAGAAAGGACATTTTTCCTTAACAGACACAGAGAAACTGTTTCAGCGTTTCTGCTTGACTTTCAAGTTATTTTTAGAGTGCGTAACAGTTACAGTAATTACCCAAGTCCTTACTGTACCAGTGGTTTGTAGAGGTGAACTCATACCTTGTTTGTACTTTAACAGCAGTTCCCAAATCCCCCTGCGAGCGTAGGGATCCACCCCTGCGGTAGGTTCGTCTAAGATTACGATTTTTGAACCTCCAACAAACGCTATCGCCACAGACAGTTTACGCTGCATGCCACCTAAAACACAGAACAGGCAACTGCGGTTATATTTTGGCTCATATATGCACACTTCCTGTGGGATAAAGTTAAAATGAGAGTAGACAGCATTCTTGTAGTGTAAAAAAATCACCACACAAGTATGTGTCAGGTTTCAAATTTAATATGGACACTGTATTGGGAAGTGATTATGACATAAACATGCCTAGATGTAACTTTCTGTATTTTATTACCTTTTTTTTTTGCAAGCCCTGAAATAATTGATGGCTAGGAAGTTGATACACTTTTCTGCCATAATTCTAGTCCGCTCTCTCTTCACCAGCTCTTCAAAATTCATGCTACATAGTGCTAATGTAGTGGAAATGTCAGCATAGATCAACCTTGAAAGTCACATTTCAGGGATTTTGCTCACAAGCATTCCCTGACTTGGAACAATCTATCAAGCAGGGCTTTGCTCTTAACGCACCCCTCCCCTTCCCCTCCTCCACCAGACAATGAATTACAACATAAAGGTACAGAGGACGTGGCAGATAGACACATGCATGGGTGCAGGGAAAGGAATGGCATATCCTGAGGGTTTCACGATAACATGCTCACATCAAAAACCAAAGTTATACCATTGCAGTATGTAAATCGGACCCCCGGAGAGACTCACCTGACAAGTTCTTAGCGAGTTCCTTCCGCTTATGTGGTAAACCAACATCTTTAATCATCTGGTCCATCTCAGACTCAACTTCGCTTCTGCTGCGTCCTTTCAGTCGGGCATAGAAGTAAATGTGCTCCTCTACAGTTAATCTGCAAAGTGTATTGATATTCATATACAGTTGTGGTGAGTTTAGAGTCACACATCATGAGCATTAATGTCATTTTAATTAATTTGAGGATTTAAATGATTGATTTCATTGCCCTCTTTTTATGGTCGAATGATGACAACATACAACTTAAAACAATAATTGGTTGCACAGGTCTGAATTTATTATGGACTTTTTTCCAATCTACATGAGGTCAAAATTATACATTCAGATTTAAATACATACATAAATTCTGCTGAATGTTTTACAATGTATTTAAACCGATAAGGTCAAGGCCTAACAACTTCTCATTAGTGATTTGATTGACAGCACTCATTAAATTTACCTAAAACTGCCCAACAAAAAGAAATTGGTCTAAATGTTAAAGAAGAACCCAAGAACCACCAAGGCCATGAACTGGAAAAAGCTGGAATGCAATCATCCACGATGTCCACCATTGGCTGAGAGGAAAGAAGAAAGAAAGTCCTGCGACAGTGACACCTTCAAGCGCAAATAGGCCTGTCACAATAACAAATTTTGCTGGGCGATTAATTGTCTCAGAAATTATTGCGATAAATGATAATATTGTTTGAAATTTGACAATAATTAATCATTATTGTCAAATTTAAGGAGAAATGTTTAATTTGTTTTACATGTTTCAACCACAGGATGGCAATATAAGACTGAACTGAAGGATAGATGGTAAGGGAGCAAGCAGCGTGTCTCTTTAAGAAAAATGGGAGGGAGGCCCCTTGACGTGACATAGGCTGTCTCTCTTCGGTTCTCAAAATGGCAGACGCTCTGTGTGGCTTAAGCTCTTTAGCATAGCATTTTTCACACAAAGTTTTTAATAAAAAAATCAGTAAACAAGTTCTTAGCTTCTTTTTGCAGAGAAAAACAACTTTTTACATGAAGGCACGGGTTTCAACGGTGAATTTTGGAGCTTCGACAAGACGGAGGTTTATTTCCCAAAGGTCGGCCTGTTAGCTTAGCTTGTAGCTTAGCTTCTCAGCTTAGCTGCTTTTAACAATCCAAAAACACGATTTTGAACGGTTAAAATGGATTTTAAAGAGAAAAGAGAAAGTGAGGGGTCAGTGAAAAGCACCAGAGTTGAGCCTTTTATCATCCAGCGTCTTCAGTAGAAAGAGAGAGACACGAAGAAACGATAAAGACGATAAATGAAATTGAGTTGGATAATTTTCATTTATCATGCGATTAACTGATTTATTGTTTATTGCGACAGGCCTAAGCGCAACTCAAATTTGCAGCTGCCCACATGGACAAATCAAATGCCTTCTGGAGTAAGGTTTTAAGATCAGATGAGGCAAAGATTTAGCTTTATGCCACAATGACAAGAAGATTGTTTAGAGGGGTCGTGGTGAGTCTTTCAAACTTAAAAAAACTGTACTAACTGTCAAGCATGGTGGTGGTACTATCATGATAGCACAAAGTGGATGGAATAATAAGGAAGGACTACCTAATTACACGACCTTACCCAAAAACTTGGCACCATTGGGCGTTCCAGCAGAGAAATAATCCCAGTAACACACTGAAAGCAGGTTTCTGGAATGACCTTCATAAAGTCTCAACCTCAGCTCTCTTGAATTCTGTGGACTATGCTTAAAGGCAAGGCTTGTACCAGAAAACGACCGATTTACATGAAATCTACAAGTTCTGCCAAGTAGAGTGGTCAAATATCCAGCTGGACTTATGCCAGAAGCTTGATGATACAAATACAAAAAGCGTGCAGTCAAAGTGCAACTGCGCTGTGCATATTTTGCTTCTGCAAGTATAATTATGATCCCGTGTGAATTAAGAGAAATTCCACAATAAATTCAGACTTGTACAGCCGTTTCTTATGTTTATAACACCTTCAAGTAATATGATGTATAAGGAGTCAACTCTGGAAAATGAATATCAACCTTTGAATGCAACTGTATCACTAGATACGTTTGACTAAGACTTTTGGAGGTATAAGCAGCTAAAATGAACCCATCTTCCACTTATTTCTGTCCAACAGTCTAAAATATCAAGTATCACATTGATTATTTCCCCCCTCTTAACCAAAAATAAAGGGAAGCCCACATAAAAGTTTTAATCTAACTACCCGGTATTAAAATATGCTTTACAAGTTGGAATTAATATTAATGGTGGTAATTTGCAGGTATTCAGATGTGATAATGATATAAGGCTTGCATTGTGTTTCCAGGGATTGGTTTTGAAAAGCAAAGAAAAAAGGGGGATAGTGGAATGGAGGAGGTAATAGTAAAACAGACAAATGGTTAGCAATGAAGCCATTAGGAACGTTTATCTAAAAAATGGAATAAATGTGTAATTCTGAGAGAGAGAGAAAAAAAAAAACAAGCTATTACTGAAGACTAATTTTGTAACGAACAAGGCAAGGAACCACCTCTTCCTTTGTACTCTGACACTAAAAAAACTAAATGGTCAGGCGGGAACAAAAAAATGTATAACGATCTGTCAAACTGCACAAATTCACTTACTCGTTGAATAAGACGTTATGCTGTGGACACATTCCCAAGTACTTCCGGATGATGTCTATGTCTGTTCGAATGTCGTATCCACTGATGAGAGCCGTTCCTGATGTGGGCGGGAACAGTCCCGTCAGAATGGACCTACAAAAATACAAAACTGATTCTGAACAACATTTATATTCATATTCGTTAAACAATATATTATAATTTTATTGTTTGTAGAAAAGAAAGAATACTGAAAATACAATGACGAGCTTCTTTTTAAGCTGACTCAGGATGCTCATGAATTCATCAGTCAGGTCTGCCATGTCCAGCAAAACTGTGAGCTTTCATAAATGAAGCCAACTTGGTGGAACCATAGAAGGCCTGGAGAACTATTCGGTAGCGCTGATGAGAAGCATTACGTTTAAAATAATTTTGAAACGTCTCCTGATTTACATTGTGTGGCTGTCATCAGTACTTTACATCTTTCAGTCCAATGCACATCACGCACACTGACTGTTTCAGCTCTGTGACTACCTGCCTTGGTACCTCGGAGGTCTAACAGCAGCTGTTTGACTTCAACCTCCCTGTAACACCTTGGTCCATGGATAAATCACAGCATAAGGCCAGGATTAGTGTTTTATGAAAGAGGATAAATATAGATATTGGGAATATAGTCATTTCATAAAGATATATTGTTAAAAATCCAAAGAATTAATTTTCCAAACTTAGTTGTATTTCATGCATGTCAGTTCGGAATTAAGATGAAAATAAAAAGTAGTGTAAACAATATAATTATTTGGGTTAAAATGTGTTTTATATGCTCCTTATTTCAGAAAGTACAAATGAGGTACAAAAACTAAACAAAAAATATTTTGGACTTTTCTGTATTTCTGTAAAATTTTGTTTTTTCAGAAAAAAAGATTTATTGCTTTATTTTATTGGATTTTGTTAGCTGAATCTAAAAAAAATACTAAAGAAAACTACAGAAATGGAGATATTTTTAATTAAGGGTATAGAAAACAACAGAAAACAAATATATTTAAAATGCAGTAGGCCCTTGATACATAATGGCTCATTTTTCAAGGACTCGATCTATCTCGGTTTTTCAAAATAAGAGTGGACATGACACACAATTGGCTGATTAATGGATGAGCCGCACGATCGGAATGGAATTTTTATTTAAAATAAATTATCACCAGTGTGCAGCCCAAGCTGCAGGATAAGCTTCTTCATGCAGCGTGTCATATCTCCGCTCTGCAACGGACAAGTGGGCGTGGCCGAGAGCGCTGGCAGAGAGCTGAAATCATGACATTCTGTGCTCTTTTAGAGCGTTTAGAGTTTAAAAACATTGTTTGGATAATTGCAAGAGTGTGGGAAGGGTTTAAAATGCCTTAATATATAAATACTAAAATAAACTACTACCTATTACTTGTACTACTATTCCTTCTTCACGATTTTCCACTTATCGCGGGGCTTCAGGGTACAGATCGATAAATTAGGGACAACTGTAGTGTGAAGTTTTTCCTTTTTTTTTTCATTTAAAGCATTAACAAATAACAACATGTGCAAAAAGGAAGCAAACTTGTGTTACTTTAGTTACAGATGTTTCTATTAATGCACTTTTATCCAATATTTTCAATTCCCTTTAAAAAGATGAATTGATGTTTAAAACAGAAACCAAGTTATTCATTTTTCATGGCAACTACATTCAGAAAATACTGGAAATTGACAATTTATTTCAGTTCTGGTGAAACTAATTCAGTTGTGAATACTCAGATTTATAGTTAAATGACATAAAATAATAACAAAATGAAACGTCTGTAAATTTCCATGAAAACTGAAGATTTTTTAATCAGTTTCAGTCAAACCCAACTTTAATATAACTCTACATTTCACAGTGCCTGGGGGGATCTGGTGACATCATGGTTTAGTGTAACAGCTCTCTGTCCTTTCTCTTATTCTACTTTTACATTTATATTTTGTCGAGGTCTTCCTCACCTCCCTTAGTCGTGCGCCACTTGTTTTCTGTCGCTCATACTTTCCAGGCTACTGGCTTTCATTTATTTTACCGTCATTCTAAAACCCCAACCAACCGTTTCTCATCATGTTTCATGCAGCAATTAGATAACTCCCATCATCACAACAGCTTTGTGACAAATGTCCTCTCAGAAACTCAGCCTTCTAAAGCACAGACCACCGAATCAATGCAGCTACAGTTTCCTCCACAGTGTTTATATTAGTTGTTCCCTCTGATGCTACAAGGAAATAAAAATATGGAAGAAATAAATAATGTTGCTCACATTGTGGTGGTTTTTCCTGCTCCGTTGTGGCCAAGAAATGATGTAATCTGATTCTCGTAGAAGTCCAGGCTCAGTCCGTCCACTGCAAGCTTCTTCCCAGTCTTGTAGATTTTGACAAGGTTGCGAATTGAGACCCCTGCTTTTATATCAGGAGGCGGTTTCTCCATATATTCTTCATGAACACAGAGAGAAACAAACAAACAAACAAAAAAAAATGATTCAAGGCCAATTTAACTACAAACTGAATTTTACCAAACAGTAAGCAAATAGTGTTTAATTCTTGTGATCAACATAACTTAAATATATATATATTTTTTTTTAAATAGTCATATTTGCATTAAAACTGTTCAGATTATTATTGATGAACAACAATAGTCCTTTATTCTCCCTTAAAGTGATAGTTCAAATCTTTACAAATGAAGAAATGAATCTAAATAACTGTAGATAGCCTTGTGAACAACCTGAGTTTGGAGTGAAAGAGGTTCGTTCTGACTGAATCAATAAGCTAGCTAACAACAGTTAGCTCAAGGAGGGACAAGACCAAAGTGGACTTTTGCTGTCCTGAAACCGCTTCCATCTTTAAACGTTTATAGTGATTCACATGAGCACTGTTTTATAAACCTATACAATGCTTTTACTCTTACATTTTATGGTGACCTCTCTAAGTGGCTTCAAACATCTGCTAAGTTCATGGGAAAAACCAATGCAGGCATGTTCCTGTTTATAGTTTTCTACATCGCCTTACAATCCACCTGTTTTTTTGTTACATTTTTTAAAATACCATTTATTTTCACTTGTTATTCCCAATTTGTATACATCCCTTTTGATTGTCTATTGTTGTCTTTGTTGTCCACTGTTGTCATCACACTTTGTTAAAGTCAGGTCTCTCTTCTAAATGAGTCCCCAAGGCTCAATGGGATTAACCTGTATAAATAAAGGTTGAATAGGCTCGAGTTGTAGCAACTAGGGCTGCAACAACAAATCGATAAAATCGATAAAAATCGATGATTAAAAACGTTGGCAACGAATTTCGTTATCGATTCGTTGTGTTGCGCGATTATGCGTCTTTCACGGCGCTGCGGAGCCGTTTCGTTTTGTTCACGGGCAGTTCATTGTCAATGCTGACTGACTGAATAAAGTTTGAAAAAAAAAACTGCAGCACGAGTTGAGCAGAGCAAGGCGGAAGCAGAGCAGAGGCTGTTTTCAAAGGAAATTTAATAAATTTAATAAATTTTAAAATCTTAAAACAGCGCTCTTGCATTTTCATGTAGACCAAAAAACTAAATCTCTTAAAAACAATGTCAACATAGCTTCACCTTAAATACATCCTACAAGTTGAGGGCGTCTTCTTTGTCTTATTGTGTAACATTTCACAATTTATTTGTGTTTATGTTCAACAAGCGTCGTTCACAGCTTCTTTTCTGTTTTCGGAGAATACTTGTCGAAGGATTACAGTGCCACCTACAGGCATGACATAGTTACTACATCATTTTGGATCGTCTTCAGTGTATCTGTGTAAATTAAGACATTTCTAGAGGTGAAGTGGTGCCTTATTAAGAATAATAATTTAAGAAGCTTTAAAAAAATTGGAATAATTGTGTTTCCGTGGAAAAACCAGATACATTTTCAATTGTTTAATGACCTTTCAACAGAACCCATGTAAAAGATCACTTTTTGGGGTAAACTTTTATTTAATCTGGAAATGTATATTTTATTAAAGCTAAAAACACTAAAACCTTGCTAATCACTAAAAAGCAAATATAACCAAAATCAAGCTCATTACCCAGAATGTTAATTGGATTTTTTTTCTCAGTTTCCTGACTTGGAACTCACTTGGTCCCCTCTCAAAGCACCAAGCTCTATTATCACCAGATGTGAAGGTGCTAATGTTTGTTTGCGACCCTTCTCATCTCACTCACACTTTCTCATTAGACCTGTGTCCCCTTTAGAACAAAAACAACCCGACAAGTTTATAAAGTAGCTGGCTGGGTTATACAACAGTTACACTTCAGCTGTGAGAAATGAAAAACAAACAGGAGTTTACCGTCATTGGCAGTGGAGTGCAGCAGCAAATCAGGGTTATGTTCAGGCGCTGATGCTGTCCCACACCAATACGAGGAAGTGAAAGGGAAATACCACGGTTTGGGAATTCCATACTGACCTGAAATCAACCACAAAGAACAACAGCCATATTATGTTATGGACTTGGATCAAGGGCATACGTTACTTTCCATTATGGTCCTCTCAACAGAGTAGCATTTGCTTCAACTTTGGACAAAACTGCAAGAGTTACTGTGCTACTTAGCATTTTAGTGTCATTCCTTTCTTGAATTACAATACCACTCCAATTTTGTATGATACTATACAGATAATATAATTGATATTATTCTGTTGTATTCACCTGGGAAGACATTTTCAATGTACCACGTGAGCACCCAGTATAAAAGAGCATCAAGGAGCATCATCACGATGGACACGATGAAGGTGTAGCGATCCCCCTCTTCTGGACTCTTGCCTATGTTGTGCCACTGAATCCCGATGCCTTGCTCCTCGTATTTGGAAAATTTCTCACAGCCGTAGCCAAAGGCCACGCACGAAAGTAAGCTCTTGGAATGGGGAGAAAAAAAAAAGAGTGAGAACAAACGTTATTGGTTAAAAGAAAATTTGGGACAGTTTAGATAATATGTTAATTTGCTCTTTTTGCAATAAGTTCATGTCACTTTCTCCGTCAGCATGCTAAAGAAGTAGTTGGAGGCAGCAGCTGGTTGTGTTAACACACAGTACTATAAAGACTGGAGCAGAGGGAAACGGATAAGCGTGGATCTGGAGTCTTGGGTGGATGCCTGGTAAGAGGGACAAGCCAACCCGCACATAAGACATTTTGGGTTTTATTCTTTTATTTTTGAATGAAATTGGGAAATTGCAAAAAACTGTTAGATACACTTTTGGCACATTTGTATTGAGCCAGGTTTGCTGTGTTTGCGTACAGTACTGTGCAAAAGTAAAAACTCTGACATACAAGGCTACCCTATAGGGCAGATTTGGTTGGAAGGCCTCAGACTGATGAAGTCCTTCAGATGGGGGATGAAACATTTCTCACTTAAAGAAACTGGTCCAGATGATATGATTTAACCATTTTTGTTGTTATCTACCTGGATTATTGAACTTAAGAACCTTTTTCTGCCATACTTTGTTTCCAAAGAGCCAACCTCTCTTGTATCTTCTTAAGTGTCTAACTTCTTAACTGTAATCAGGTCTCTCTTGTAAATGAGTCCTCGAGGCTCAATGGGATTTACCTGTCTAAATAAAGGTTGAATGAAAGTGGACTTGATTATTAGTTCTTCAGACCTTCTTATGATCTTTAAAAGTATTTTTTGCAGTTATTTTTACTAGTTTTCTGCCCAGTCCTTGTGACTGACAGTAGTGTGCAGTATGAGCCTAAAAGAAGATCAAGAAGCTTAACAAGAAAAAAACAAAAATCCAAATATCAGACCCCCTCACCCCCCAAAAATAAAACAGCTAATGGCTTTTTTATTGGGGGGTTGTTACTAAATACTACTTTATGTAAAAAAAAAAAATTCTGTCTGTCAAATCACATTACCTTTGGTACTTTTGAAAGTATTTTATAAAAAAAAAAAAAAAAAAGGGAAGAAGTGCCCTTTTTGCAACAAAGTAACTCACTAACATAATAGACAACAAGCTAGCTAGATAGTACTCTAGCTAGTTACCAGCGAAATATCCAGTTTGAAATGGTGGGTTGGTGGGTGGGTAGGTAGGTAGGTAGGCTTTACTTTCACGTTATAACATTTTAGCCTTGAATTTTGTGTTTTAGTGTCTACTAGAACCGATTTAGGTTATCGTCCCTGAATGCACTGTGCAGGGTAAATAATGGCAATGTCCTTACGAGAAAAATCTAATAAACATCTTTTTTTTTTAAAGTAATTAAAAGTTTTCAGGTGTCACAAACATAAACTTTAAGTAGAATAAAGAAATGGCAACATATTAAAGCCAAATAGTCAGAGATCTTTTTAAGACTTGCACAGTACAGTTTGTAGCTGTTATATTAGATAAAGAGTTGATTTCTATTAAAATCTACAAGGATATGCATGTATAGCAACAATTCTTATTTTCATCAATCAAACTGGAGTATTTTAAATGTCGTGTAAAAGTGTATGAACTACATAATTATTTTGTTAAACTTTCAGTCAATTAGTAAAAAAAAAATGCAGTGAAATAAACTTCAGTTACTGAATTTAGATGCTGAGGGAAACTGTTACTGCCGAGGCAGGACGGACACTAGAATCCATCTGCTGCAAACAAAGATTTGTTGGATCTTTCATACAGCAGGAAATTGCAAATGATGCTTTTCCCACAAGACATCATCTGCCACGGCCTCTCATTCCACATCGCCATGCTGCCTGCCAGCTGTTTCATCACACCTCATTTGCTCGCAGCATTTATACTCCGGCAGAAGTGTTTGCCGAGGCTTGAGAGACGTATCACCATGGATACTCGATGTCACACCACCACACAGAGAAGCTCTGCGGTGACGCCGAGCCTCTAAGACTGGCTGCGAACACTGCTGGCAACGTCCTGCTCTGCCCTCCACTGCCCATCTGCCAATCAGTCAGGAGATGAGGGCTGACAGCAGGGCAAGTGGGCACCCATCCTTGACCTCCGTGTGAACGGCTGACGAAACAACAGGAGCCAACACTTTGGCGGTTGAGAAAAGGCGAGTTGTGAGGCAGACAAAACAAGCCCTCTTTATTGAACACATGTCAAAATGGAGATTTAGACATCAGTCAGCTGGCCAAGAACAGAAAGTATGGTTAAGGGCATGACGTTTTTAAGATGGCAGAAACCCTCTTTTGGTCTTAGCTCCTCACAGATTAGCCCATAACCTATCAATCGGGTCAAAATTCACTTCCCAAAATGAGGATGCTGAAAGAGTTCTCTTGAACAACAACAAAAAAAAGATATTATTGTATGTAACCTTTCTACAGAACAATACTTGCAACAATTCCAAATACTTTTATAAGGTAGAAACAACTGGGGTCTTTGCATTGGATAAAATCCCCACACCCCTCCCTTTTATCTTCTGTACATTTTTTCAGTCGAACTGCTTAAGTGTATAAGTGCTACATGTTGTCGTCGTATGTTCCCATACAATGACGAAACTTGTTCTCTGCTTTTAACCCATAGAACCTGGGATGCACCCAGGTGGAGCAATGGGCAGCTATTGAGCACCCGGGGAGCAATTAGCTATTAGGTGTCTTGTTCAGGGACACCGTGACATGTGGGAATGGCTAGGAGTCAAACAGCGACTTTCTGGTCCCAAGACAGCTGCGCTACCTCTACCCTATCTCGGCCCATATGTATGTATGAAAAGTATGAAAGTATTATACAAGTATTGTATAAGTATAATAAGTTTATAAAAGTAAAAGGTTTTTTTATATATACTTTGTGCAATTTTAACTTGAACATTTATCTCCATCTAGAATAGAATGCTGGGACTTCTGGTGTTTGTAATTTTTCTACATTTTGAACTATTTAACTTTATTCAAAAATATTTCCCCAAAAGCAATATACTATCTCTTCAGTCCCTTCAGAAACATTGTTCTATGAAATTGTCTTAAGCATTCTTGAGCTCTTTGTCCTCATATTATCGTTTTGTTTTTACAAATTGTTTTGTTTTGTAACTGGTTTGCTTTTGTATTTTTAGCTAGTTTTGCTAATGCTATCTTTTTATACTGTTTTGCTAGTTTTTGATCTGTTTTTTTGATGGTTTTACCTTCAACAAATGAGTTCACAATTCATTATACAACAAATTTCAGCAAAATCAGTCAGAACTAAGCGTTCACACTTCATTTTTGCCAAAAACAAATCTCATGTTTTTAGTAAAAGTACACTTTAGCTGTAGCCTTAAAAGATGCCATGTATGTTCTAATAAATGTCTGAAGTCGAACATTTACTGCAAGATGTCTTAAAAGCAAAGATCAATTGCCTGAATCAGCCAAAAGAGAGCCTGACAAGTTCTGCAATTTTTGTATGAAAATGTGTATTTTTCAAGTTTTTCCACGACTTCACGTTTAATTGAAAGTGTTTCTTGTTTTCAAACTCAAAGAACCGTAGTCCCTGACTTACATCTATATCATTTTAAAAAAAGGAAACTAGTCAAAGTACAATAGACTGTTCCCGATTTTTAAGTGGCCCACTGCACCACTGCCTGAAGCTTTCCTCTGGCGCACAGTCAAAAGCTGTCCTCATCAATTCAAGTGATCTTTTGAAAATCTGTTCAGATGAAAAACTTCATTATCAAGGACAAAATGGGGCAGGATCTGTTTGCCTTGGAATGGTGTGGTTTCATCTGAGCTGGGGGGAGTGAGGAAACGAACACTGCTGTTGAGTAGGAATGAACTGAAATGGGGTGTGGTCAGTTGGGCACTGGTCATGATTTCTAGGAGGCTACGTGCCATGATCTTAGAGACTTTTTGTTAATTTTTGTGTTTAGAATGCATTTCTTGCTCATTTTGTTGTGTTTCACAGTGAGTGTTTATAAATCACTTACACTGTTGAGATTGAGTTTTCTTTCATACATTTGTCAGCACGTTATTCATTCTGCAATGTTTGTGCCATTTCAACAATTCATATTTCAAAATGTTCAGGACCTTCAGGACATTCATTCCTACTATGACTTTTGGTATTTGTGCAATTTGAACTTTTTGAAATGTTTGGCTTTTTTTCAGCCATGGCTTTTTTCTCATTGAAAATGAATGGAGCTCTTCACATCCTTCAAACTCTTTGTGATGTTTAAAATCTTTCACTGCTTAGTTCAGCTTTTGTTTTTTTGTTTTTTCTTTTTTTTTTTATACTAATTTTAGCTTTATTGTTCCTTTTCAGTTTCTCTCTGCAGAAGTCTGCTTTTTTACTGTTTGTTCAGCTACTTTTTAATTTATTTATTTTTGGATGATGCTCACAGCTTTTTGATTCTTTCAAACAATTCCAACATTTTACGCAATTTCTTTTGAAACATATGAATTATTATTATTATTATTATTATTATTATTATTTTGTCTTCTATTGTTTAATCTACTTTGGGTAATGAACCTGCAACAATGTAAGACAATTAGCCAGAACAGGGATGGGCTTTGCATAGGGAGTGATGGCGCAGAGGTTAGAGAAGGTGGGACTGTGATCGAAAGGTTGCTGGTTCGACTCCTTGGACCGACAACAACAAAATGTGGGGGAAAAAGGTGACGCACCCACACCTGTCTCCACCCTCATTTGCCCTACTCTTGGCACTTTAGCAAGGCCCTTAACCACCATCATCTGCTCCCCCGGGCACCCTAGATAGCAGCTCTCTGCTCCACACAGAAGGCTGTGGTAGCTCGGTGGTCTGTGGTTGCATCAGGAAGAGCATCCGACGTAAAAACAGTTGCCAAGTATTCGTGAGAGTTAGTTTGATGTGGTGCCCCAGTGGAAGGGAGCAGCCGAAAGAAGAAGAAGAAGAAAGGGATGGGCTTTGCAGGTTCTAGATAAAGTCTTTATGCATGTGC